CTCTCTCCCTCCCTCTCTCTTTCTTTGTCAACTCTTTTGGATCCTGTCTTTCTGCTATTAACATTCCTCAATGTCACATGCGAGTCTTTTCTTTAAAACAAGCTCCTCATTGGTGTGCCTGGATACTTCTTTTATTATTATTACTGAATCCTTTCTCCCCCATAACGACACCAGGATCATTATATAATCCCACAACAAAGAGGCTTTTGAGGCACCAGCTTTTGTCAACCCCAGGACAGAGAATGCATAATTGCATTATTCAGCGTTCTCCCCTTCTTCCCCTCTTCCTCGCTCCACAGAAACCCAACCCCAGGCACTGCTCACGTCTCCTCCTCGTTCCCCTGCCTCCTAGGATTTAGCAAAGCGTGGACCCGGCGTGTACAAAGTTGCCTTTAAAAAGTTATTTTGTTGGGTGGTGAGTCCTGGAGCCCACCCCCGCGAAGATTCTTCCCGACCCATAAGGCAGAGGGCCTGCATGACGTTTTTTCCTCCAAGTTTAATTACCGTATGCTAATTTCCTTGCCTACTACGTGATTAATTAAAATCATATTTTCATAATCATTTGGCACCGGCATTGTTTTAGAATGATCATGATCTCCTAAATAGCGTCTGCAAATAAAGTCGCCTCTAATGGCAGGCGCGGGAGGCCGGGCTGAGGACCTCTCCGTGTTTGTATCGCCGCGATTGGCAACATAAGTGCCTTATTTACACTAAATACGCCACAAGGTTACAGCGCGGATCAACGTCATTTGATCGGTGATGACTCCCTTAAACGCCGGGGCTGGGACCGCTGCTCCGCGACCCGCCGTCCACCCAGATGCACCCGGGAGTTCCTTTTCCCCCCAGAAAAGAAACAGACTTTAAATAGTTTCGGGAGCAGGTAAGCATGACGCTTTTTTGCTCTCCCTTCTCCGGCTCGCCTCTCCCTCCCTGGCAATCTCTCTCTCTCCCTCTCTCCCTCTCTCCCGGCTGGATAAAAAATTCTTTAGTCAAAGGCAGGAATGCAAAGTAGTGACAAGCGAAGGGGCTGATATATGTCTCCGTAACGAGTCTGACAATCAGAATGCAGCTCTTGGAGAATAGATAGATTTTAATAAGTGTGTTTACATGAGCTCAAGGTCAGAAGCAAGCTGCGCTGTGTTAAATGGTTTCTTAGTTGCTAGACAGAGAGAAAAAATGGACGATCACACACCATTCTTTGTAGATTATTATATCAAGGGTTCAGTCTCTGGCTCATCAAAGCTAAATGCCGCAAGACCTATCTAGTTGCTGTGAATTATGCCAGGGCGACAATGGAGAGCCTTTTTAATGGTACAATGCATTTCACCTACCCGAGAGGGGGAGGCCGAGCCGGGCCGGGGATGTCTGCGGGGCTGGGTGATGAGTATCAATGAGCGGGGCGATCGGAGCGGAGGCGGATGAAAATGCA